GTAGAAGCTTGCATTCAAGCCAATGGTGGGCATACACGTTACTGAATATTGGATCATTGTTTCAAAATGACTTTAACTCAAATTTAAAGATTTTCATCTTTCAGTGCAGCACATTTTGCACGACTGTGTTTGTGCTCTTTCTTTGTATTGCTTTAGTCAGTTTTTAGGTATTGGAATATATGAACATGGACTGACACATAATAGATTTGATGCTTAACTTTTTGTGAGGAGTATAAGTAAAAAATAACGTTATAGAAACATTCGTTTTGCAAAGCTTTCAAAATGTTTATGGTTTTATGAAGGGCATTTTGAAATTTGACGCATCAATGAAAACATTTTACTCAAAAGCAATCCCATATTTTGACCTGTTCCGTATGTTCCCTGTGAACAGGTGAACAATTGACTTGCCTTTGCATGTGTTTGTGACGGAAGACGCTCTCTTTTCCTCGAACACCTGGATCATCAATTGATAGTGACTCCTGAACACATACTGATGTTAACACATACAGAAGTTCTAGCAACTATATCATCATGACACCCTCATATCAATGGCTATTCACATTTTACCAATTATTGGCCTGTCATATTTGAAAAAGATGATCCGGTTAATTACAGCTGGAGCCTTGATTTGCTGACTAAACAGCAACTTGCAACTAATCACAACTTCAAATCACATTGGTACGCGACTCAAGAGGCAGGGAGAAAATGCATGTCATTTACAGCCATCCCAGCCATAGGAATTCACGGGTGCTTCATGTTAGCGTTGCAGGAGTACTCTCCTTTTTCCAGTGTCCTCTTTACGATATGCTGCATCGCCATTAAACATGTGTAATCGGGCATAAGCGTTTTTTTCACTTCAAAACCAGCTGAACCATGATACATTTCTATGCAGTGTCATTTTCAAAAATTGTTTCTAATTAGCCTGACTTTCACCTTAACTTGGATTTTTTATTAATATCTTAACGCCACACTCAGCAATGTTTCGAGATGTATGACGGCCTTCGAATAATCGTGCCTGGACAAGACAATCCTGTCATTGACTTCCCTAGGACCGATCCACGCAATTAGGATCCGATGCCAAGCTGTCAACTGAATCACCCAGCCTGACCACCGGGTCAGTTGCCTCTTATGACTAGCGTTGGTTGTTGGGGGCCTATATTCTTACCTGGAATTCCACGGAGATAGAACAATAAGGGACCGGGTGGGCACATATAGAGGGTCCCGTGAAGATCCGGGGTAGAATAGGTCTTCAGCAACCCATGCTTGCCGTAAAAGGCGACTATGCTTGTCGTAAGAGGCGACTAACGGGATCTTGTATTACATATTAGTCAAAAATAAGACACATGACACACTGACAATGCCTCCTCATGTGTAACGCAAAATGGTCATCTTTCGGAGGTTATACTTAATTCTAGGGCTGAAGGGGCGGTCGAGTAGCCTAGTGGTTCAAGCGTTCGCTTGTCACACCGAAGACCCGGGTTCGATTCCCGACATGGGTACATTGTGTGAAGCCCATTTCTGGTGTCCCCCGCCGTGATTATGCTGGAATATTGCTAAAAGCGGCGTTAAACCATACTCACTCACTCACTCTAGGGCTGAAGACCTTATGGTGGTATTAAAGGAATAGTGCTTAATAACAAAGACCATAAACTCGGGCAATATGCGGACTACGCTAAGATGTTCTTAGACGGTACCGCGACTGGTAGAACTTCGATGAATACTCTTTCAATATTTCATAGACTGTTAAGACTGAAAAGGAACATCAATGAACCAAATGGAGAAAAATATATCTTACTAAACACAGGTAACATAACAGTGAAAAAACATCAGCGCTTTAACCACTATGGTTTAACCATTAGTTCAATAACTCACAACTTATCATTCATAACTGGTTCAATAAGGGTGTGTATACAGTAAAGGATCGCTGCAACTCTAAAAGCTTTATGTCTTTCGAAGAGGAAGAAAATGTTAGAGGGACTCTCTTTGTCTTTAAAAAAGTTATTGGGAATATTCCTAGAGCACTGAGAGAGACTGTTAACAGTACTATCTACCTAGATCAGAAAACTGGAATTAATATGATGCTGTTGAACTTAATTACACCCCAGAAAGATGCGCAAACTGTACCAGCAGTATGTAAAAATATTGGTATGTACTAATTATGGAAGATGTATAAAATGTTGCTCGATTTTCAATATTCCCAAGGTAAGAAACACTCAAAATGAATTCAAGGATGAATTCAGAGAATAGAACATACCTCTAGGTTTCCTGTGAGCAGGTGAAGGCGTTTGGGAATGATCTGATCTTGTTTATTATTATTCGATATACGAACGGTGTTCGTCCATCCGTCCGACCTTCGACTTCTCACAGGGGACATTTCTGAAAAACTGTTTAATTCAGAGAAATGACATTTTACACACTGGTGTTACTGGTCATGATCTCGAATGAGTTCGAAAGTTGGTGTCGTATGAAGAGTTATTGTCCCTGCTTCGTGCTTTTCAATTTAGAGCATACTGCATTTCCTCAGGAACGAGTGAAGTTAATTGAATGAACGTTTGCATGCCTATCTACTAGATACTTGTCTTGACTAAGTTCGAAAATTGGCCCCGTCAATTATTGTTTCACAGTTATGGCCCTTGCGCAATGCTTTTTTAAACTTAGTGCATTCTGCGTGAAATGGGGACAAGATTTCACAGAAACTACTGAAGTTCCATGGATGAAAGTTTGCATGCTTATCTAAGAGATACTTATCAGTTCAAAGCAACGTGAAACCATACACTCTCCCTCACCAATTAATATAAGCAACCACTTTTCATGTCAGGTCTTGTTGGCGGCAGTTGTATCGACTACAACAGCCTGATGACAATGGCTGTTTTTAGTCTGTCAAATGTATTAAAATAATCGGGCAAATTCGTATAGGTGGAAAGTTCAAAACAGAACAAAACCTTCAAAAAAGGTTGTCTTGGAGAAAACAGTATATGATGCCATGTGGCCGATGGTACATTTCTGTTTTAACAGGTTCATGAAAATCAACTCAGGTTAATATATATTATGTTATGTTCAAGATCACGTTGATTTTCATTTACTTTTTAACTACTATGGGCCATGTGACCTCACATACTGAATAAGGGGCGGTGGGGTAGCCTAGTGGTTAACGCGCTCGGTCGTCACGTCACGCCGAAGACCTGGATTCGATTCCCCACATGGGTACAATGTGTAAAGCCAATGTTTTGTGTCCCCCTTCGGTCGTCACGTCACGCCGAAGACCTGGATTCGATTCCCCACATGGGTACAATGTGTAAAGCCAATGTTTGGTGTCCCCTGCCGTGATATTACTGGAATGTTTCTAAAAGCGGCGTAAAACCATACTCACTCACATATTGAATTACTGTCTGTCTGCAAGAGAAGCGGAGATAATGCATGGCGTATACGTGTGCAGACAGCACTGTCATGGGGTAGTAGTACTCTCTCTTTTCCAGTGCCCTCTGTGCGGTTTTGAAAGCTTTACTGAGGCCATGAATGAGTTAGTGAGTGTGTATGGGTTTACGCTGCTTTTAGCAATATTCCAGCAATGTCACGGCGGGGGACACCAGAAATGGGCTTCATCTCCTGCCCATGGAAGAGACGAATCACATCCTGGGGAATGGTAACCCACTCAGCCTGCATCACAAAAGCCAACTGCTGCAACGTCTGGGGTTGTGGTTGACGTCGGCGTAGACCTCTATCCAATTCATCCCAAAGGTGCTCCTCCGGGTTCAAATCCGGGGATCTGGAGGGCCAGGGGAGAACATCAATGTTGTTGTTGTTGTTGAGACAGGCTCTTGGGATCCGTGCTGTAGGTGATCGTGCGTTGTCTTGCTCGAATACACCGTTGCCTTTGGCTGCAATTGGGAGGACGTGTGGTAGAAGAATTTCGTTGACGTATCGTTGAGCCGTAAGACTGCCTTCGATATGGACCAAACCTGTCCCCTGTCCTGCCATGATGAGAGATAGCGGCCTACATCATAATGCTAACTTCACCAAACCTGTCTACTTCCTGTACACTGTTTCCGGCGTAATGTTCTCCCGACGTCTGTAGACCCGTGCTCTTCCTTCCCCTAGACGGAGGAGAAATCTTGATTCGTCGCTTACCCAGACATGTCTCCATCGCAGTTGAGGGCATACCCTGTGTTTACGACACCAATGAAGTCATTGTTGACGATGATGTCGACTCAATATTATGTGTCAAACTCGTAGACCTGCTGCTCTTAAACTGTTCCATAAGGTCTGGCTGTGGTCGTTCTTTCACGTAGGTCAAGGGGTGGTTACTCTTGGTCGTCCCGACCTTTGCCAATCATGTGTTCACCCATGCTGTTGAAACCGATCCCATAGCCTTGTGATGGTGCTGGGCGCTACATTAAAACCCCTGGCTACAGCTGATCAACATCCCCAGCCTGCAAGCGGCCTATGAGGTTGTTTCATTGCACTTCTGTTAAACTTGGCATGTTGTTGAACTGTCACTGTTCGATTGACGCAGATACCAGGCAATCAAAAACCCTCCACTTTAATACCGTTTATGGTGATGCTGCAGCTCCATTGCCTTTTTGTTAATGCACTGGGTGCGTTTTTCCGAATCGTACGCGACTAATGGTTTACTTGTTTTTGTTGTGATCATGTTGATCCGGGAAATTTGTCACTGACACTATATCACATTGAACCTCTTCATTTTGCGACTCTTGGTCCGCTAAGTTTGCTTTTATGGCCAACAATATCCGTATTGCGCTTTTTTAAGAGTATATAAATTTATATGAGGAAGTCCAGCATTTCATATATTGTTCTCTCAGTAAACTTTAAATGATATTTGCTTTTCACTTTTTAAGTTTCCTGAAACTTTGAACACAGAGATGTTGCTATGTCTATGGTAACAACAGTTAGTGATAACTGCCCTATGGATCAAGGAAAACAGTAGCATACAGTTATAAATGTGTATTTTATTATGTATATTGTATATATATTATTTTATTAGCTAATATTACATTTATTATTTTTTAAAAACCTCGATCTCATCAAAAATATTTTTGAAATAGCAGGGATGGCACTCAAAATGGGAGAGACTTTTCACAAAATAATCAAAACTTTACAATTTATTCTGACATCAAGGTGGACAAAAACCCGTCACATCCAGGACGTACGTTCAGATCCATCTCAAAACATGTTCAAAGAGTCGTTGCCAGGCGTTGTTTTCCTCCAAGTCCTCCAGAACAAACACACCATCTCCATCCAGGAGCTGAGTGAGTAGAGGAGGGAGCGGGTGACGTAAGATGGCGTCCGAATATAGAAGCGTTAGTCTCTTAGGCATGTTATTGTTGCATGCATAGATCCCAGATGACAGTGTAAAGGAACACAACTCGTCCTGAAGGAAAGTCTCGGTCACATAGAGGACAGTCTTCCAGCTGTTGTGAATACAGTTAATAATTTCCTCAGCTGCGCAAACGCCCACTTCGAAGTCTCTGTCTGGAATACATAGTCGTAGACCTCTCTCAACCTCCATCTTCTGTAGAAAAGTGGTACACACCCACTCATAATCATCATGTTGAGAATAGTAAATGAATATGTCATACAGATAATCTTGTCGGCGTTGAACACAATAATCAAACCCTATTAATCTCAACATCCAGTATTTTAACGAAATACTATTTTTCAGTATCACATGACAAATGACAAGACTAGATATCAGAACACACATCAGACAAACCGAAAAGGCAAGCCAAAATCTAGCGTAGCAATATCTCCAGTGTCTCCCAAATGAACTAGTAATGTTTGAAAGTTTAATGAGCTGGCCCTCCGTGTTGAGGCAGCTGTACGAGTCAAAGCGTCGAAACTGGACATCTGTGTCAATTATCCACGTCAGAAAGTCCAGGGCTCCACATCCACAGGACAGGATGTTTCCATGAAGGTCAAGTGAAAACTGCTGCGAATCAAATACCCTTTCATCTAACATTGTTCTTGTATTTGTGCTCAGAACACCGATGGAATTAAATGAAAGATCAATATGAGTGATGTTTAACATTCCAGACAATTCAATAGGGACATCTTCAAACACATTACGGCTTAAGTTCAAATATTTTAAGGTTTTAAGATCCCCGAATATATGTGTATACATTTTGTATAAAGAGTTAAAGGATATATCTAATGAACGGACGTTTCTCAGCGGACTAAACAGTGTCTGGGATCGCATGTTAGACATTAAATCAGTATCAAAGTGAACATTGTTTAGATACAGTATCATGACGTTTGGGAATGATTGAAAAAATGTCAACGGTATATTTTGAAAGAAATTCCCTGTAAAATCAAGATATTTTACATGCTCTACACCATAAATACGCCATGAAATCATTATCAAGGCAGAATAAGAAAGATCCAAATATGTCAAGTGTTCACCTCCATGAAAAAATATGTTAGTCGCCTTAAAAACTCTATCATGTGCGCCTGACCCACTCAATAAAAGTTTCTCCAATAACGGAGGAAGATAGAATGTCATGTTTCCCCATGATTTCCCAAGCAAGTCTTTGGAATTTGTATCCTGTCCATCACCAAGATACAATTGATTTAGCTGCTTTGACACATCCAGAACAACAAGGTTATAGAATTCAGGAAGAAGAAACAGCCACTTGGGCTCACCATTTACAGCATTTCGTCTGAGGTCAATATATCTTAGACAGCTTTGAAATGGTTCCTGTAATAGCGCACTACTCTCAATCACAATTATGTTATTATCTCTAAGAATCAGTCGCTCAACACATATGGTTACAAGGTAACGGGTCATTTCAGACGTGAGCATGAGTGTTTGATTGTTTAGTACATCTTTGACAGTAACATCATATCTGTGTACATGTGAAAAGTCTATTTCGGTCATATTCCTTCCACTTAGTCCTTTTAGGCTTAATAAAGACGGATATAATCCAAAGGGTGTGGTGTCTCTGGCAAGCAAGAATCTAAGTTCAAAAAAAGGAGAGAAGACATTGTCATCCAGAAATATTAGATTTCTACACAATGACAATGTTAGGTTGCTTATAGGTGCTTCCCTGAAATTCACAAAGGAGCTATTCCCTAAACGTCTTATAAGGACAGGTGATCCAAAAGTGAGACTCTTCAGCCTCTTCATTTGTGCAAAGCCAGGTCCAAACACGGGTTCTCCAGCCCCATCAATAACCAGTGACTCGAGATAGTGAAGATCAGCAAATGTAGCGTCAGGATATGTCAATGATGAAAACTGCATCTTCATTCTGCCCACACGAAGTGTTGTCAGAGATGTCAGGTTTTGAAATGTCCCAAGAGGAAGAGAGGAATAGGTAAAGTTAAATTTATTCCCATCTAAGTTAAGTCGTTGAAGGGCAGGCAGGTTTTGCAGAGCACCTTCCTCCAGAAACTCTATGTTGTTATCATTCACAAGCAGCGTATGTAATGAGGGAAGGTATGGCAGTGATCCGTTCCGGAGGCTTGATAAGTTGTTGTTACCTAGGTTAAGTTCGGTTGTGTTTCTGGGAAAACCTCGAGGGACTCTGCTGAAACCACACCTTGAGCAGTCCACTGTTGTTTCATTGGCTGCATGGGAAATGTTGCATTTCTGAAGGTCGGAATGTTGCTGTGGGGAACACTGTAATGTCATCAGATTCGGAATTACAATCCAAACCAAACAGCAAAACTTGACTGGCATCATCCCTGTCAATATAATTGTAATATGCATAAATATAATAATATATTATTAGCAACCAGTTGATATCGGATGATATAAGCGGAGCTTTGCATTCCTACGATTTCAGTTATTTTGTTCAACCTTTAGCCTGATGAATTGTTTTAGCATAAAGCACTGTAAAGAGGGTGGACGGTTTCAAACAGTCGCAGCTTCATTAAACAAGGTACAATTGAAGAAATATTTTCCACATTTATTCCTGATAGAAAACTACACATCACTGTATAAAAATATCCCCGGTGTTTTCAAATATCATGCCAAGCTGAAGACCAAAGTGAACATGAAATTTGTAAATTTTCTTGAACTTAACTGAATAACATTACTGAAGGTGGTATGCATAAGGAACCTTTTTAAATCGTTAAATTTCTGCAAATTAAGTTCAGTAAACATATCTCCAATATGTCAATTTTAACAAAATATAAAGTCAATTGTTATGGCAAAAAACAACGCGATGGTAATTAATGCCCAATTTCAGTAAATGTCTTCTCCACACGTTAAACAGAATATAAACGTAATTTTCGAAGATTCGAATTTTCAGAAAGAAGAACAATCGGGTTAATCAGACTTGTCATGTTATTAAATTTGCAGGAAACAATAAATGACTTATGAATATTTACCAATCCTAAGTTTTTGTTGAATATTTACGATATACCAAAATACAAATCCCATGTTGTGATTCTAGCTGACGTACGAAAACCAAACATGGCGCGCTTCGCCCGTCCCCAGCATAATTTATTGATCTTTTAACATCAACAAAATTTACATTGCCTGCATATATATGTCTTGGCGAAAGTTGATGATGCTAAAGCTGGAATATTGCCGTGTACGCCAATAAACAACAAACAAACAACTTCAATTTCAGTTTAATATGATGAGAGAGAAAAGAAAATGCAGATCGTGAAATCTGACATCAATATTTCAGAAAATGCAAGGACAACGTATGTGATGTCACAGACAGGGGTAGTTTGCTGATACTTTTTCAGTTTCAGTTTCAGTTTTCAGTGTTTAATTCCGCACTCAGCAATATTCCAGCTATATGACGGTGGTCTGTAAATAATCGAGTCTGGATCAGACAATCCAGTTATTGACATCATGAACATCGATCCACGCAATTGGGATACGATGACATGCATCAATCAAGTCAGCGAGCCTGACCACCCGATCCTGTTAGTCGCCTCTTACGACAATCAAAGTCGACTTTTACGGCATGTATGGGTTGCTGAAGACCTATTCTACCCCGGATCCTGATACTCTTTCGTTGCAAAACAATTACAGTATACTTTTAATAGTTCCAATGGTTTTGAATAGTAACATCCAGAATAAACACAAATTACTACATAGTATCCAGTAAACACCACTAAAATGAAATAACAATGTGACTTTGACTATATAATTATTATTTAATCCGTATGACCTTGTATGCTCCCGGAAATGGTAGACGATGACGCAACATGCCACGTGCAAGTTTCTTGGTATCTTTTATTTTAATTTTTGTTGATTTATAAGGATCACCATTCAATGTTGAATATAAAGAGATAAGATTCACGTATCTGCCTGATGATTTTGATTTCACTGTAATATTGTGTCCCACGCAATACGTCAAGATACCGTCGATCGGCAATGATCAACTTCCACAAAGAGTTGTGCGAAATGGGCGCGTGGGCGTGTTTGTTTGTTGTTTATCGCCGCACTCAGCAATATTCCAACTATGCGACGTCGGCCTCTAAATAATCGAGTCTGGACCAGACAATCCAGTGACTGACATCATGAGCACCGATCCAAGCAATTGAGAAACGATGACATGTAGCAACCAAGTCGCCTCTTACGACAAGCATAGTTGCCTTTTACAGCAAGCATGGGTTGCTGAAGACTTATTCTATCCCGGATCTCCACGGGTCTGTATCAATATGTAGGTTAGGTATGGAAGGATCGATGCTCATGGTGTCAATCACTGAATAAGAGGGGCGGTCGGGTAGCCTAGTGGTTCAAACGTTCGCTTGTCACGCCGAAGACCCGGGTTCGATTCCCGACATGGGTACATTGTGTGAAGCCCATTTCTGGTGTCCCCCGCCGTGATTATGCTGGAATATTGCTAAAAGCGGCTTAAAACCATACTCCCTCACTCACTGAATCTGAAAATTCCTGCTATATGGCATTAACCTTTAAATTAAATCTGAACCAGACAAACTAGAGATTGATATTATGATAGGATGACATCATATACTGATCCCGACAACATGATCCACATAGTCGCCTCTTACAAAGAGCAAAGAGGGCAGAATTACGAGGCGGCATGTAAACCATGACGCTTGGACCAGGCAAACCAGTGGTTCATAGCATGAACATCGCCCGACACCGTCTTTTACGAAGCTACACAGTCAATCAAATCCCACAGCAGACCACCCAATCCCCTTTTAGTCGGCTCCAACAACACAACCAGGAATCTGTTATACCTCGGACTCCCACGAAACATGAACAGTTGATTTAAGACAAGGAAATCTCCTCATGTATTGAGGAATTTGTGAACGATAGGAAGCAGTGATCTTCAAGTTGATGCATTTAAATAACATATATGCAGTTAACAAATATTGTTCAAGTTATCTCTACACCACCTGGGGATTCCAAGGAATGGTCACGAGTCCTCATTATCCTGTGATTCTGTCTAAATATGTTCAGGTGACCAGTCGAAGGGACTTGGACGATGACGTGAATTGTTGCTCGTACTTTCAGTCACTGGAAGATTCCAGGGTAGAATAGGTCTTCAGCAACCCATGCTTGTCGTAAAAGCTGACTATGCTTGTCGTAAAAGGTGACTAACAGGATCGGGTGGTCAGGCTCGCTGACTTGGTTGATGCATGTCATCGATCCCAATTGCGTGGATCGATGCTCATGATATCAATCACTGGATTGTCTGGTTCAGACTCAATTACTTACAGACCGCCGTCATATAGCTGGAACATTGCTGAGTGCGGCGTTAAACAACAAACCAACCAACCAAATCATCACTGGTTTGCCAGGTCCAGACTATACCGTCATGGTACAGATGGGGTTATTGTGTGGCGTTAAATCCTAACTCACTCACTCACACTCATTGGAGTAATTGACCTGCTACAACATTCCCTCACACGCTCAGTGACAGGACAATTATTTTTGGAGAGGAAACCTGACACCATCATGAAGCTTAAGTATGTAAATGTGAGGTGTCTCGAGATGTTTCTCTTTTATGGGAATTTGACTGTGCGGGGACCTTGACACTTGCAATACGTGGATTGTAAGGTTGTCTGGTTGTTGTTTTTATTAACGCCGCACTTTATACATTAAGTCACCTCGTAGGACAGGTCGCTAGGTTCCTATTCTGACAATGACTCACCAAGGGGAAAAGAGAAGAAACACTGCAATGAGGAAGTGGAATCAGCGTTGCGCCACAAAGAGTGTAATTACAGAGAGGATCAACCAGGAAGCTTAATGGCAGTGTGTTTCCTATAACTTTCCCATATTTACATATTGGTACTACTAGCTACTTCATAGATAGAGGTTATCACGCGAGTGTGTTTGGGGATGGTAAATATCCTGCATTAGGAATAAACATTGTATTTAGCGAGCCTTGGCGCGCTAAATACATAGTGTTTATTCCTAATACAGGATATTTACCATCCCTAAACACACAAGCGTGATAACCTCTTCATCATATAATGCCATTCTTTAATTCTGAGCTTTAAAATCGCTTTCCCTCTCTCACAAACATTACCGAAACATTGCGAGTTTTCCTGGAATGCGCGCATTAATATTTATTACGTCACAGGGTAAGTGATGTGTCAGTCGGACAATGACAGTAGCCAATATAGTTCCAACTGAAATCTGTTCCTTATACTGTGGCAAAACAACATATACGCAAAACAACAGTTGTTTTTAATTTCGTGGCAACCCATCGGTCCGTCCGGGATCCGCTAGAGTAACTGCCCTTTGTCAAAGGGAAGCTACTCTAACCCTAGTCTTTGAGACGTCACGGCCACCGTCAGACGTTGTTGACAGTCGGTCTGTCCTGTCATAACGTTAAGAAATGTAGTCAGATGTACACACAGCGACAAAACGAAACAAAATCCAACTATTTTGATTTGTGGAGAAGCTTTCAAGCCGAGGTCTAGTACAAGCACAGATATGGCTACTGATCCCGCTTGGCTAGGCCTCGTGCCCTCGCAAAATTATTTCGAAATTTATATCTCCAAAGTTGCCAAAACTTATAAAATGCCTTAGCTACGTCACAGATAGACACTGATTTTCAGTATATTGGACTGTTCTTTTGATTATGATAGCAATTATCCCTGTAGTTTATCCAGATTCCCGATGGGTAATTCTGACTCGATCGCCGAATGACAAGGGCAACGCCATGTTTGTTTATAAACAGTGAAAGTAGTCCTACTTGACCTTTGATATTTGCATCTCTATCCGCATATGACCCCAACGGATATCGTTTTTATCCGTTGGCTTTATCCTGCCGAGAAACCTACCCATTATATGATAAATATATTTCTTCACTCATGTTTTTGATACGGCAAACATGAATTCATGTCCGATTAATCTATATTGATGTAGCAAAAGAACCAGAATGAACTAAAACTATATTTATTTTCTGAAAACTACGGAAGTGGAGTAGGGCCACAGTGAAGATTTGTTTTTGTCTAAGAACCTCCTACGTAGGACTTATTATCTCCTACATAGGACTTAGTATCTCCTACGTAGGACTAACTATCTCCTACGTAGGACATAGTAAGTCCTATGTAGGAGATAGTGATTCTAGGCCATACTAATTCCTCCGTAAGAGATAGTAAGTCCTACGTAGGAGGTACTAAGTCCTACGTAGAAAATAGTTATTCTAGTCCATACTAAGTCCTACGTAGGAGATAGTAATTCTAGTCTATACTAAGTCCTACGTAGGAGATAATAAGTCCTACGTTGGGGATACTTAGACAAAAACAAATTTTCACCGTGGCCCTACTACGCTTCCGTAGAAAACATTAGTAATGAATCATACTTGAACATATATCAGAAATTCCCTCAGACTTATCCTTAATATTCTTTTTTGGTTTAACGTCACACTCAATAATCCAGCTATATCACGGGGCTCTGTAAATAATCGAGTTTAGACCAGAAAATCTAGAGACTGACATCACGAGCATTTATCTAGGCAGCTCCGCTACAATGGCATCTTCACGAGGGATTTCGGTAGCAGTGGATATCTAGCCTAGTGCTTAAAGCGTTCGCTAGTCATACCAAATATCCGGGATCGATTCCCAATTTGGGTACACTGTTTGAAGATCATTTCCAGTGTCCACCGCTGTGATGTTGATAGAATATTGCTAAAAGCGGCGTAAAACAATACTCAGTCACATTTAGCGAAACTTACATTGTTCGAACACTGCTTTGAAATAATACAAAATGAGTTATGTTAGGGAATTGTTACTTCTCTTGCTGAAACAGTTAACAATATTGTGTTATGAGTAAGTGAGAAAAAATATTCCAGCTATATCACGGCGGGGGACACCAGAAATGCTAAAAGCTGCGTAATACCATACTCGCTCAACACTTGACAGAGATTAAAACAGTAAACTTAAATTATATCAAATATGCTATTGTGTCATTTGTACAATGTGTTTAACAATATTGTAACCCTTGTACTTGGGGTGCTATATATTCAAAACATTTGACATGAACAGATACAATTCACCCGGCATACATTCACGAGAGACTCGTCAAGATCCGGGTAGAGAATAGGTCTTCAGCAACCCATGCTTATCATAACAGGCGTCTATGCTTGTCGTAAGAGGTGACTTACGAGATCGGGTTGTCAGGCTCGCTGACTTGATTGATGCATGTCATCGATGCTCATATTGTCAATAACTGGATTGTGTGGTCCAGACTCGATTATTTACAGACCGCCGTCATATAGCTGGAATATTGCTGAATGCGGCGTTAAACGAAAAAATTAACAAAAAAAACAAACAGCATTCACGAGACTATCAACTCTACTGCCACCTACCTGTTAATTCCAGATTCATGATTGACTCATCGTTGAGCTTCTCTGTTGTGTTACCTCTGACAGCTGCGCTAAGTTGTGTCTGGGATCCGACAGTGATAGTTTATATCAGGGTGGATGACACCCGAATAGGCTGACCCGCAAACGTCGCGTCTCTCCGCTCTGTTGCTTAGGGATGTGACGAACACCGGAGTATGCAAACAGGAAAGTGTGATTCGATATATGGACACATCATACCAAACGACATTTAAATGGCTTGTTGTTACCCTACGTGGCGCTCGGCATTAAGGGAGTAAAACAAGGACTGGTCGGCTCGTATAGTCAGTATACTGTGTCGGGGGGGGGGGGGGGGGTATCCATGTTTAGTCAGTGAGTGAGATAATGCTTTACGTCACATCGGCAATATTTCAGCCTTATCGTGACGAGAAATTATACATTTTTGATACATATATTTTAACTAAATAAAAACCTGTCATCGATGGACAGTTAAATTACCAGAATATCATATATCAATATTTAAAACTAGCATACAACTATAAAAAGATATCACTATAAATAACGGTACAATATAAAAAAAGGGCTATAGATCGCCAGCAGCTGAAGGTAGATCACCATGCTAGGGACCATGGGGACTTACAGTACTTTAGCTTCCTGCATGGAACCCAACAGGATTTACATTATCCCTTCAGCAACTAGCGATTGTACGCAAAGTTAGCCACAATTATAATTACAAATATACTACGTTTAAAAGTGTAGTAGGCAGAACTATTCTTTGAATGACATGGACTTACTATATCCTCTCAGGGGGACAATTATTTTAGACTTCGTCAACCCCCTTTGAGGATACAGCCAATAACAAACTCAGATATAAATTCATTCTACCAATTTAAAAAGTCAGTCATTTTATACAAGACATATTATCAAATTTTACCATACAATTCTATTTCATTTAAAAACTCAATAATTATATGAAAATTAATATTGTTAATAAGATCCTTTAGAGAAGATGATTTGAAATATTTATCCCTTGTGATGACAAAATCAATACAGTCAAGCAGGACATGCTTGACCGTGATTCTCTCATCACAAGGGACACAAAATGGAGGATCTTCACCTTTTAATAAATATTCGTGACTATATCTACTACGGCCAATACGACATCGTCGTAAAATGACCTCTTCAAATCTGGACTGACAACCCAAGTAGGTGTAACCGATATTTGGTTTAATTTCATGTAATTTATTGATACCTACTTGAGTGTCCCACTTCTGTTGCGTTTGATCTCTGATGTAACATCTAATACCAGGTTTGATATCGCTGCATCAGAAGTGGTGTCACACATTTGTTGAGAGCTGCTTTTGCAGCAGCATCGGCCACTGTGTTCCCAGTGATTCCAACATGGCTGGGTAACCAACAAAAGACGATGTCATATTGGCCAGTAGGAAGTTTATTATATAATTCAATAATTTGGATTAAAAGTGGATGGTAACATGATATATTTTTGATAGCCTGAAGACATGAGAGAGAGAGAGTCTGAAAATAATACAAATTACCTATGCTTAGATTGTTTACCAATACATTTTAGAGCTGTTAAAATAGCATGGGATTCGGCTGTAAAAATGGAACTATGATCTGGAAGTCGTGAAGAATCCAATGACAGTGGCGCTGGCAACCGCGTCACCATCCTTGGATCCATCTGTGAATATAGTTTTGTAAGTTTTATATGTGTTCCGCAACTGATTAAATTCTTGTTGGTAAATTAGTTGGTTTGTTTCGGATTTCTTAAGTTTAGTTAATGACAGGTTGTACCAACTGCAATGGTGGAGATGACAAAAGCTGATTTGGAGCTGTATTTATAAGATCGATATTAGCAGCTGAAATAGCAGGTTTGATTCGTAGACCGTGTGGAGGAATAAGGGGTGGCTTTTTAAGGTATGTGTCCTCATAGAGAGGATGAAAAACGCAATCATATGCAGGATCAGTTTGATTTGAATACAGCTTTGTAAGATATTGTAATGAGAGTTTTATCCTACGTTGATTAAGTGATGGCTCGTCAACCTCCACATACAGACTTCCGATAGGGTATGTTCTGAAGGCTCCTAGGCTAAGCCTCAGGCCTTGATGATGAGTACTATCTAATATTTTTAAGTTACTTTTACAGGCTCCACCATAGATGATGGAGCCATAGTCCTGTTTAGAACGGATAAGTGCTCTGTACAGTTGGAGGAGGGTTTTCTGATCCCCTTCCCACTTTGAATTTGAAACGACTTTCAGAAAGTCAAGGGCCTTCGGGCATTTATTTTTCAAAGGTTTTATGTGTGGTAAAAAGGTCGGATGGTTGTCAAAAATAATGCCCAAGAACTTGGCTTCTTTTACAACTTTAAAAGAAGTGCTATCCAAAACTAGTTCTGGGTCTTTATGTGATTTGTATTTTCTACAAAAATGTATACATTTCGTTTTTGATTTTGAAACTTTAAAACCATTTTCTAATGACATTTATGGATTTTATTTAGACAAAACTGTAATTGTCTTTCAATAGTATGCATATTTTTACCACGACATGAAATGTTAAAATCATCCACGAATACCGATCCATCGATGGAATCATTTAAAAACTTAGATAAGCTGTTTATTTTAATACAGAACGATGTGACAGACAATATACTGCCTTGTGGGACACTCTGATCCTGACTGAAATGATCAAACAGGTAGGAGCCCACACCAACTTGAAATTGCCTGTCTGATAAAAATTTGGAGATAAATTGAGGCAAACGACCTCGCAACCCAACATCATGTAACTCTTTTAAATACCATGTTTCCATGTAGTGTCATATGCTTTTACTGAATCGAAAAAGATAGACACTGCATGTTGTTTGTTTATGATGGCATTTTTAACAAAAGTTTCCAAACGAACTAAATGATAGATGGTACTTCTGTTTTTACGGAAACCACATTGTATATGTGTCAGTAGATTATTGGTTGCCAGGTACCAAACTAAGCGATTATTGATCATTCGTTCCATAGTTTTGCAAACGCAGCTGGTCAATGAAATTGGTCGATAATTTGAAGGATCAGTATGATCACGACCAGGTTTAGGTATTGGAACAATAATAGCTTCACGCCACGAAGAAGGAAATTCTCCTGAAGTCCAGATGTCATCAAATATTGTTAAAAGGGTTTCTAGACATGATTGTGGTAGACATGATTGAGTTGATAAGGTATATTATCAGATCCTGAAGCAGTATCATGAGCTTGCCTAAGAGCAGTATGGAGCTCATGCATGGAGAAGATTTCATTATAATCTTCCCCATTATCTGATTTGAAATTAATAGATTTCGTTTCTTGCTGCTCTTGGTAGGATTGGAATGTAGGGACATAATTCGACGAGGAGGAATGTTTAGACACCAAGTTTATTGGTAATATCTGAAGTATCTGTCAACAAGTCATCCCCATTTGTAAGATGGTGGATGCTAGTTTTCGAACCCTTACCTTTAATTCTTTTAATCATGTTCCATACTTTAGACAATGGAGTACGTGAATTTATTTTAGAGACATATTTTTGCCAAGATTGGCGTTTGTTTTGTTTAAATATGCGCCTGGCTTTAGCATTCATAATCTTGAATTTATTTAGATTATGCACCATTGGGTGGCGGCGGAAGTAATGCTTGGCCTTTTTCCTGGCCTCCCTAGCTTGTTTGCCAGCATCATTAAACCATGGTTTTCGTATGTAAGGAACCGCAGAAGACTTTGGAATACATTCATCAGCATTTTTTGTTAATTCATCAGAAAAAACATTTGATAGGATCAGGAACACCAATAAATAGATTACGTTTAAGTTTGTTTGTACAGAGAGTTCCATCGAAGGCCCAGTTTGCTTTATTAAAGTTCCATCTTGATGATGGAGGGACATCAGATGGGGTCACAGGCTTTAAAATAGTAGGGAAATGGTCACTTCCACAGAGGTCATTGTGGACTGACCATTCAAATTCATTCAGTATTTCTGAATCTGTAATTGACAAATCCAGAGAGGAGTAAGTACCTGTTCCAGGACCTGTGTCCGACCCATCATTATATATGCTCAAATCGTTATCAGAAATGAAATCTTCTATGGTCTTTCCTTTGTTACTTGTATGCGCACTGCCCCAAAGCGGATTATGTCCATTGAAATCGCCCATAATAATACATGGCTCGGGGAGCTGGTCATACAGGGCCTGAAGGTCAGTCTGCGTCATAGAAGACGATGGAGGGATGTAAACGAGCAAAGGGTAGGAACAATGTGCATAGTTATACGGACAGCGACAGCTTGAAGTGGGGTATCAAGAGGTACAGGGCTGTGAATAACACCCTGGCTCACCAAGACAGAAGAACCTCCAGTTGCTTTAGCACCCGGAGGTGAATAGAAATGGTTACGAATTATATTGTCTGATATCCATTAGATCAGTAGTTTTCAAGTAAATCTCTTGCAGGCAAAATGCTGATGGTTTGGGAGAAACTTGACATAGATGTAAAACCACTTTTTGCCAAATATCTAAAATAATTACATTAAATGAGAACCAAATAAGTCAAACAGAAAGATGATGTGTCTATAATTCGCGAAAACACATGCAAAGCACATAAACGTAGCGTTTGGGGATCAATTTTACAGCTTCATCCAAACGCAACCGCCTGTAAAAAACGTGCAGCACAGGATCCTGCATTTAGGCATGCAGGCCCCCTGCTGATTGGGTATAAAAATCCACATCTACGGCTGTTCATACAGTCCTTATAACGGCAGTAGAGGCGGTGACAGAATGCCAAGACTGAATGCAGCTCAACGGAACAACGCCATTGGGAGATTACAAGCTGGAGCAACTCAGCAAGAAGTGGCCAGGCACTTTGGCGTATCCAGACAGACAATCTCCGCACTGTGGACCCGATACAACAACACCAACAAAGTTGACGACAGACCAAGGTCAGGAAGACCAAGAGTGACAACCCAAGCACAAGATCGATACATCCGGCTGGGACACCTCCGAGACCGCACTACCACAGCCACGTCTACAACCACACAGATCCCTGGGGTACGCAGAATATCAGATCAAACGGTGCGCAAAAGACTGAGGGAGGCTGGACTTTTTGCACGAAGACCTGTTCGACGTCATGTATTGACCCCACGTCAT